AGTCGCCTTCATCCCAGGAACATCATTTGGTAATCCTCAGCCTCAATCATAATTTATCTTCTGCCACAAATTAATAAGTACTCACACAGACAACATAATTGACTGCACTCATTTCTGACTCATTCTACAAATGCAGTCCACAAAGAACAAATTCTCAGGAAGTTACAGTGTGAAGAAAATGTACTATGGGTACGTAAGAGAAAGTAAACATAAGTACCAAGATGATGCAAACAGCATTTGCAAAATTGATAATGCTGTTCGATACAGATAACATCCTGGACTCTTAAAGAGGAAATCAATTTTCCTTCCACATTTCATAAGATGACACCCTGTCACATCACCTGTTCACAACCTTTAGCTCTCCAGACCTGAAAGCTTTAACTACCAGCCCCTGATCAGAGACGTTATGCAGGAGGTGGAGACATTTTGCAGTGAGAGATCTTGAGCTTCCTTTCCAGCTTTGTAAAAGATGGCTCACCTCAGCAAGCACAGATCCTTTTTTTCCTCCACTTGGCTATGGCTGCTTACCCCACTTCCACCTCCTCTTGCCTGGCACCACTACCTACTTCCCCTCCACTCATCTCCTGGCAGCATGGAATCACCATTCTCTCAGCTTACTCTCCAGGCAGTCTGGTTTCCTCTCTGAGCTCCTCATCCTTTAATTCACTATTCCCTGCCAGCTCCCTTTTACACAGCCTTTTTGTCAGTTTCTGCCCTCTGAGATTTACAGCTTTTCTGATTTCCATTTCCTTTTCTAAGTCTCTTCTCTCTTGTCCCACCTCCTCCTTTTAATCTCTACTTGCTCAGTCCTTTCCAATACATTTTCAACTTTCTGCTTTTCACACACAACTTCAGCTTCTCATAACCCCAAAATGTTGTTTGAAGTGGTGATGCCTGATTTGATGGCTTCAAAGAATAGGGGATACAGCGTTACCAAGAAACCCTCTCTGAGATCACTGGTGACAGCTCTGATGTACTCCACATTGGTCTCTAGGGTTGAGGAAAGTCTGTTGGAAACAGGTGATTTTTAAGAAGTTTTTCACATGAGTTGTACATAAGTGTAACTCAGCTTGAATAAGCTCTTCTGGTCTAGCAGGGCAGCTCATGAGAGCACTGTCTCTCACACACAGGGATTTTGCAGAGAAACTTTGCAGATGCTCTTATTCTTTTAAGAAATGGCATTTTCTCCTTTAAGCACCAAGGAAAAGAAATATTAAAAAAAAAATAATTAGATTCCAAGCGATTACAAAGCATCAGAGAAAATACCTGTGGGCATAAAAGGATTTAGTATCCTCCCTCATACAGTGCTGATGGTGCACCGGCAATTTGCTTTGCATGGAAAATTACTACATTCAAATCTGGACTTCACTTAGGAAGCACAGAATATTGAAATTTCTATTGATTAGTTGCAGAAATCTTTATAGCAGGCACGTCAGTTATCTAAGTTCTGTATAGAAAGCCGAAACTACACTTCGGTTCAAGATTATTCTCTTTGTCAACAAATTTCAAGCATCTGATTCCAAGCAAGAAGTGTTTGATTAATATAAGATTTCCAGAATCATTCAACGTGTGCATTGTCAATTCCTCTTCTTCTGGAAAGTTCCAGTGCTTTTGGCAGCTTTACACAAGCGTCTTTTAATTCAAGGTGGAAAAGAAATGAAGTCCATATGGCACGCTACGTGCCAGAGCAAGCAGTTAAAGCCTGGTGGAGTTGCCATAAGAGTTAAGATAGGTTTGCAAATCAGGAAGCCCTGAGCTTTATTACCAAAGGGGCAGAAGCAGCCTTGCCCAAAGGTGGATGCAGACAGCCTGTGCAGACGATAACGCTCTGACTTACAGAGCTTTACTTGGTCAGTGCATAAACTTGTCACCATCACTAACTGAAAGTAAAGGAAGCCTTTCTCAGGAAATCTAGCCTTCATCCCTGATTTGCTGTAAGGATCTTGCATTTTGTTGCACATATCGATGCACAAGCGAAAGCAAAGAGAAATTAACCAAAAATTCTTATTGCAGAGTGATAAGAGCTCATGCAGTGGTTGAGCAATTTCACTTTCCCGTTTATAAATCTGGAAGCAATCTCAAAATATGTTACATAAAATGTAACCAAGAGCACTATCCTGCATTATCATAAGTATACACTTCTGCAGATGATTTGGGTTGGTCTCTGTCCCACATTTGACAGAAAGCATTTGTTACAAGAGATCTTGGCCTTGAAAACAGCCGTCATGTGCAGGAAGAGCAAGATGGGCTAACAAGTTTCAGATGGCCTTAAGAAAGCTTCCCTTGTCATTTTGAAACGAGGCTAAGGAAAGGAAGGGGAAAAGAAAAAGGACGTAAAGAAGAGAGGGAGTTATAGGGATGAGAAGAAATAGGATTGGAAGACTTCAGGTAGGGGCACAGATTGTACAGACAGACACGGGTTTAAGACAGTAAGCGATCCCACTTTGAGTAGTTTTAGACACTGATGTTCTTCAGCTTTTCTTAGTTGATAAATGGATTGTGAGAAGGTCTGTCTGTGAAATGGCAAGTTTAGGAGGTTGAAGTAGCATTTGTCCCCACATGGTAAGTCAAAGTGACTCTAGAGACAAATACCCTCACTATGATGATTACAGCTGATGGCTTTAACAACAGGGAAATTGCAGCAGCACCCAGTGCAGGGCCAGCCATGTGCCTAAGCAGCCTCTGAGGGTCAGTAGGCGAGCAAGCACTCAGGCAGACATTCATCCTAAGTACCCACGGGATGCTGTCAGCTCCAGGGTCATCATATTACCATTGATACTTCTACACTCAAAGATCATAGTACAGACATTTTCAAAGAAAATCCTCCACACGGTATAAAATAGCTTGCATGAGATTACACTGCAGTCAGGCAGTTGCCAAGATTTACTGGTATATATAAAGCTACATTTCCACCAGTTGTTTATTGGTTTGGGTTTTTTTTTTCCTTAGTTTTTTATGAAGAATGAAAAAAAGGAAAAGTTTTCACATAAAATGAGTTCATGAAGAACTTGGAATAAGGTGAATCGGCAGTTGAAATTATTTAGGTGCAACTGCAGCTAGTGAATGTTAAAATAATGGAATGGATATGGGTGGGTCAGGCAAGAGGAACTTTTGAGGGATTCCTGTTTCTCATTTAACTCTTTTAGGAGCATCTGTGAGTTGTGGAAATTAAGAAAATGAATAAATACATTCCCTAACTTCTAGCAGCCCATAACAAACAAATTCAAATCCCAAACACAACTGTAATTCCTTCAGAAGAGTGTGTTTTAAAATCAGCTAGAGACTGGAGCAGGATTTGAATCCATCATGCGGAAGAAGTGTGTGAGTGAGGTTACAATGCAGACTGCTGGCCAAAGCTCTGGAGGGCAATGGAGCCACAGACTGTGCCCTGAGCGAGTTCAGAAGTGGCACTAAATGAGAGGAGTGCAAAACAGAGCCCTAACAGGTTGCAGAGGGCGTAGGCATGCACAATCTGATCTGCAGCTGCTGCTCATCTATCACATCTAGATAAGCCATGTGATTTTCTCCTATGGCTGTATTGTGCCAGGGATGAGGAGACAATGAGTACCTAAGAATGGAACGGCTGTCAAAAGCACGGCATTGGAAGGCCTGTAGTCATTCACAGACCCCATCTGCAATCCCATTTTGCAAAATGCTTTAAAATATTCCATTAAATTTTATAAATTCTCCAGCGGAGGTGAATGTAAGGCAACAGAAATGATACCAACAATAATTTGCACGTCTTGTATGAACGTCTCAACATTTTCCTGCTTTGCTATAGCAACAAGAATGTGAAAGGCTTAATTTGTTTGAAATTCTGCAGTTTATATTCTGCATAACTTGAAGTACTATCTTTAAATATAGGAGGGCTGCTCATGGAGAATGCAGACACATATTGAAGCCATACTTTTCTCACAGGCTTGTTAAGATCTCATTACCACAGCCTGCTTAATTCCTAATAAATTAACATTGCTGGTTTCTTCCCCCCCCCACACTTGCAGCACTCATATCATGTATTCCTCCAAAACATTATAGAACCACTTAGAGTTTTCCCACAGTTAACTGAGCTTTGCTACCATAAATACAACAATAAACAGGGCTGTATTTCCTACTCTTAATGAGAGCAACGTCCCTTATATATCCTTTGTTACGTGGCTTAGTATGCACAGGAAAACTGAAACAGGCTTAATTTAAAAGCAGCAGAGAGCCAGCTGTTGTTCCATACAAAAGAATTCAGCCTTACACTATTCACTACCCTACAAAATTACTGAAGCATTACTCTCACGTTTACTACTGCAACAACAAGAAGTGTTTAACATAAAAAAATCAGAATCAAAGGAAATGATAGCCATTACAACAATCCCATGTGCAGATCTGTGTCAGCAGCTGCACAGGGGCAGCTTAACCTGAGTAAAAGCAGCACCTACACACATGGTACTCAGCTGGAATGAGGAAAACGTTACTAAAGGTGAAACTCCCACCTTACTGAAGTGTTTTGCATCTGAGGGGAAACTTGAATTTAATTCAACCTTCACCTTTCCTGCTACTTGAACACCACATGCTGAATCAGGCGGCATGATTTCTGCTACCCGAGCACGATCTACTTTTTAGGAACAATCAGTTCCAATAGCACTGTGCAGTATTGTGGCAAACTACTGCACGAAGTCTAAAATGTGGATTTCAAGGCAGGTAAAAGGAGTTGGTTCTACAGGTACCTTCATGAAATATTTACAGCAAGCCTGCTTGCAGCTTAAACCGTTCCTTTTATTTGCATTCTGGCTCATAATTAGTGTTAGCAACTCTCAAAGCATTAAACAAAAAAATCAGTTGATCTCAGAGTGTAGCTACTAACATTGAGAGACTGTATTACACTCAGGTTCCATAAAAGAATAATTGCCATCAAAAAGGATAAAACAGCACTGAGATACTGTAGTTCAAAATCTGCTACTTAAGTTTATTAGCTCTATGCTTTGCAAAGAAAAGGAGACAGATGTACTTACCCTTTGTTCCAATAAGCAAGAATATATAGATGCACCAGTCAGATGTCATATCTGTCCTTCAGCAATTCAGTGAATAAAGTCAATAAGCGTTGTCCCTTAAATTGCACCCCACCGGTGAGCTGCTGCTGCGCTCTGCCTCTGACAGCCTTCAGCAGTGCATGAAACAAGCTCCCTTCTCTCCCTTGGCTTCCTTGCTTGCTCTCCTTTGCACTGGGTCTCTCTCTCCCCCTCCTTGGCACACGAACACACCTCACAGCAGAGATAGGGGAGAAAGTTTCAGGGGGACACGCCAGCTCCTCAGCTCTGCCGCACGCACCGGGGCTGCTCTGCTCAGTGGCAGGAGAAGGCTGGGCTCTGTGCATGGACACAAGTCCACCCTGGGGAGAGCTGCTGCTGCACAAAACACAGCCAGATCCAGAGAACTGTCATCATTGTCATCAATAGTCCAGATTTTGCTGGGTTTTTTTTTTTTTTTTTCTTTTTTAAAGTTGCGATACTGCAAGAAGCCTGAAAAGTACCATTTTATTAAGGCAACTCTGTCTGAAACTAAATATTTTGTACAGTTTAGATAAAAGCTGGTGGCTTCTCGAGTAAGGGGAAGTGAAACATGTAAACACAGCCCTTTCTACCCATCCGGCCCCTCTCTGAAATGCAGAAAAACGCACAATGTAATTTATTTCCAATAACAGCGCGTCACTACTTTTACACATCGCGGCCATAGCTGAAAGAACTAATCTGAGAGAACAAAGAGAGACATTCAGAATTATATGCTATATGGAAGTAAGTTTTTTGCAGATTCTCTCCTTATTTAAGTGCTTTGAAAGTTCCCCTCTGCCTTGGCTTGGCAGTTTCCAGTAGATCCAGCAGGTATCACCTTAACTCAACCACATACACACACGTGGTTTTTAAAATCTTTTCCAACCTTGTGAAGGCTAATGGTCACCAGTAAGACGTATTTCAGAGAGTCACTATGCTGAGATGAACTCAAGGGGAGGACTTAAATTTTATCTGTCCTGAAAGAGATTCTGAATATTCATTTTGATTCAAAAAATCTCGGTGTTTCTAAGAGTTTGTGAGGATGGCTCAGGCCATGCTGGTAACATGGCACCAGCCACAGCTGGGTTGTTGGGAAGAAGGCATCTCAGACTAAGGAAGCGTACACATGCATGAACACCTGCATGAAAAGGCATATTTAGAGACTGGGAAAAATCTACACCATAGGCAACCATAGCCTGCACTGTTGCTATGGCAAAGTTGTCTGCAAAATAGATATTACAAGCTGTCAGTCATCTTGTTTCTAACCTAAAAAGACAACAAAATATAGGAGGTAAACCAAAAGGTTCTTGCTTATGGAAGCCCCCCAAAAACCTGTTGGCATCCACTGTGCCAATGCTAGTATGAGGCAGTGCCTGAATAAAAACGGGTTAGGGAGCTACAGAAGATTTATTTTATAAGGTGAAAATTACTTTTGAAGCATTTCAAATAAAGCCACAAACAACCTTTCAAAGCTTGACACTTAGACAGCCTATGGCTAATGTCTGAGCTATGCAAAATGGGCTTCCAAGGTGTGAAAATTAGAGGAAGAATCTGAGCATGAAGAATGACAAATACACTTTCAATAAATATGCTTGGGAAAAAATAAAATAAAAGCTCTACAGCTTTACTGCAGGATGAGATAGGTTCTAGAGAAAACTTCCAGAGAAGCTCTTTAGCACAGCTTCCTCTTCGGCCTTCTCATCTAGTCACCTCCATTTGAAATTGGAATTTACATGCTTTGGGAATAGGATACTTTCACATAATAACACAACGAAACAAGAGAGCTGTTTCTTCAGAAACAGCCTGCTCTGCTACAAGAGCTTCAAGATTCTCTAGCTCAAAGTAAACAGGGAAAAAAAATGTATACATATATCACAAAATGCAAGACGTATCACCCACACGTTTTCTGAAGCTCTTTCCCAGCGGGAATTGTCACTGCCAGCTAATGCTTTCCTTTCTTTCAAAGACCTTTAGCAAGTGCACTCATTAGAGTTAATTCTGTTGCTAACTCTATGGAAAATCCACTGAGATCTTCCCTCTTCTAAACTTCATCTACATTCTTAATAAGAACACATAAAGCAGCAGAACTTTCTGGTCTTTAGGAGAGAACCGTAAGAGAGGCACCCGTTCCCTCAGTGTAATTATATTCAAACCAAGGAGCTACAGTTAGACAAAAGCAAGAATGCTTTGAAATACAGAGCGAAAGAATCAGAAGGAAGCTCATTATCAGAACATTAAATAGGACATTATTGGCTTTTAAAAAATGGTTCAGCCTTGCCTGCAAAACATCTACACATTTTTGTGCACAGTAAGAACTGTTCTTACGTCTAAAGCATAAAAAGCTATAAATACTGGTGTTCTAGAGTTCTGTTTTCAAGAAAACAATAGTCTTTACATGTTAATTCCTTTTAGAGTGAGGAAATAACATATTAGAATAACATATTACTGCTAAAGAAGACATTCAGCTTCAGTAGGATGGTCATCATGTGCTGACATTACTACTTAATTCTGTAATTAAACTCCAAGAACATCAGAGAAACCCACAGTATGGGTTATGATGTTTCCTTTACCTCATCTTAAACTGAAAGCACTCCAGAACAAAAGGTACTATTTAACATTTTCTGCCTACTTATACAGGCTAGCAGTTTGATTTGTCTTGACAGGTATACAGTGTTGGTCCAAAATTTCAGAGCCTTGAAACTCTGCTATTTGTCAGATAAATGGAGAAAAAAGACCCAAACACTCAACTAACGCTGTGCCACAAACTATCAGAAAACATTCATGAACTAAATCCAAATAAGCACAATTACTATTTTACTGAGAATTGTCACCTCATGTGAGCACCAGAAATCTAATTACGTACACAGGGGCTAGAATAAAATAATCCTAACTTGGAAGCTCTTTCAGATAAACATTTCTTGAAAAAAATTGCCACTTTGTAGTGGTATTTTCTACAGTTCACATTTGATGCTGTATAGAAGGAACCTCATACAAGTAAACGAATCATATCTGTGTATAACCTTTGTAAATATCACAATTAATAAAAATACCAACCTGTAAATCATCGCTACTGCAGAAATAAAGTAGAATTTATTTTCAGCTTGGAGAATAAGATATGCTTATCCACAGGCTGCAGCTTCACCCTTGGAGGTTAACAAATATTTTATCTCAAACTGGTATACACACATTACAGCTGATAAACGTCAAGCAGATTCACCAGTACAGGTGGAAGCAATTGGTGGATAAAAGGTGGATACTGCTATGTTTTAATCTATGGGGAGGAAGTAAATGCATATAAACTCTACCTGCTACTACACTGCTCCAAGTACTAAGCAGTACAGACCTACCTAAGAGTTATTTTTTACTCTTTTCTAATGTGGGAATTTTGCTTGGTTTAATTAAGAGATGTTGTGTTGCATACTAAATTAAGGACTGACGAGACAATAACTATGTCAATGGTGATTTCATAACCCTAAGAGCTGCTCATTAAGCAAAGGAAATCTTTAGATTAAAATACTGTCACCTGTTGTCAACTGCTTCACTTCCCCAGTGAAATGCTGAAAACCATCCAGTCACAGAGAACGTATGGCTCATGTATAGGAAGAAAGGGAACCTTCTGCTTTCTCAGCTATTTGATGGACAGCCCTTAGGTTCTGTAGTATAGCAAAATGAACAGTTAATATACAGGCAAAACTTCAGAACACAGCATTTAAAATGTAAATTCATTATGCATGTCAATCCTACAATCCCAATCATTTAATTATGCAAATGAGCTTAATTGGCTAAATTGTAATTACTTTACATTGCTTTTAAAGCCCCATCAGCATGCTTTGCAGATACTGTGATTGAGAATAAGACGTTTATGTTTTACAAGTGACTGTTATCTTTGGAGGATACATTCTTCACGTAACACTTCCCTAAATTTGGAGAGAGGTGAGCTAAAAACTCCCTAGGAAAAGTGCAAGAGTATGCAAGTGGCATAAGCAGAGAGTATCCCATCTACATCTTCCCAAACCACAAGCTGCACTCAGTGCTTTTATTTATCTCAGACACTTGTGGCTCGATCAGTATTGTAAGAGAATGACAACATGTTCCCTGTTGCACAACTGCAGATTTAATAGGACTTACCTTCCAAAATCCAAAGAGCTTAGGGCACTGGGCCTAACAGTCCAGGCTAACCAGAAAAGGACCTCTGCAGCACTATCTTCTGAATTCTCATTTCTCCCTCCACACCTCTTATCAGCACAGCTGCAGCTGAGCTGGGATTACAGGCATTTGCTTCTGAAGGAAGGGAAGAGACCTTCCTCTGTTGGAGAAATGATCTGAACTTGATGTTTACTCTTGCAGGGGTTTATTACAGGATAACACAGATTTTTTTTTTTTTTCTCCAGCATATATATATGTTCAATAGGTGTCTCAGAACAGAAAGTGGCAGATACCAGTTCTGCCATGCTTATTTTAAGCTAAGGTAATCGTACAAAATTTGGCTGTAGTGCCACAGGAGAAGGTCAGCAGAGAGTAAGATTGGTCCAGGACAACAAAGGGGAAGAAGCTACTTAGACAAAAACATCAGTACTCAGTTAATCTATCCTCCCAATGAACAGGATTCTTCTTGCACCTCTTATTTTCCCAAGGCGCTGTTTCCAGAGCTTTCTGGTCCCTGCCCTTGCCTCTCGCTGATGCTAAAGGAGTTCACTTCCCAGCTGTGGTGCAATCCTTCAGGTTTTAGCTGAAGACAAATTTCTCAAATGCAAAGAGCTGAATAAACAATATTGGAAGATGTGAGATTCATAGAACGTTCACTAGTGATGTTCTAACATGAGATGGTACCAGTTAAGCCATGCTTTGAGAGAGTGAACTCTAAAAACATTGAGTATATAAACCACGGAGAAGGCAAAACAGAGGCTTCGATAACTCAACCATGAGGACTCTGTGTTAGAGAACTGTCAAAGCCAATTTCAAAGTTGGAGAGAAATACTTGCGTGGTACCAGGATGGCCAATCCTAGCAAGGTAGAGATCATGGAGGGAATATTTGGGTCCATGTAAAGCAAGCATAAGGAAGGCACTGCTTTTGAAGGCCACTGTGAAAAGCCCTGTTCAACTCCCATCAACTGTCTAAATGTCAGTAGCTTCTATACGGACTAAGATTCAGCAGAAGTCAATATCCATCTACCACTAAATTTATGATTATGCATATTTCTTCTAAGCAAAAGGGAAAAACCAAAACATGTTGGTATGAACATTTGGAAATGCCATCTGCGTCACTTCCATTTAACCCTATGCAAACATAAAGAGTCAAGACTATTCACCCGTGGAGGTATGTGGAGCCCATGTTAAAGAAGGAGCCACTGAAATGAGAAATTATCTGTAAGAAAATCCATATCCACAGTTTGCTACTGGATTATTGTGAATAAAATTCTGTAAAATGAACCAGCCTTTTGTAAAGTAGGTCTGGTTCTAATCCCACAGCTTCTATGTAACAGCTTAAATTACAGTCCTGATTTTGTGTTTCAGGAACAGCCTCCAGAAAACAGAACTGAAAGGGCAGAGGGAGAGCTGTGAAATTCAGAAATCCCAAGGTCATTGCTATATAATTGCAGGTGACCAATAAAATATCATTTTGCTACTGTTAGTAAATATTCAGGACCTAAATACACTGTGGCTCTAAATTCATTGTTTGGGCTGGCGTTTAGATTTGTACTTTTGCATACAGCCACATTTGATTCAATTGGCTAAGGAAGTACAGCATTTATCTGTATCTAATACTGCTGTCTTTGAGAAGCATAAAATGAAAATTGCTTGTTAGAGCCAGAGGAGATGTTGGTTGTCGACACAGCTGTTACTCTGATTGCCTGTGGTGAAGGAGTTGACATTAGCAGAGATTTATTTTATTTATTTAGGTGAACTTCTCTTTCCACCAAGTTGCTCATGAAAAAAATCATTATTTCTAAGAGCAGCTTGAGCCAACATGAGGAATTGATTTCGATTTAATCATACAATTCAAAAGCACTGTTCATGATACAAGTGGAGAAAATACTTTCAAAGCAATCATGCAGAATGAAGGGTTAAACCACAGGACCTTATGATCTCTAATTCTTTCTTACTTATTTTCAGATTTTATATTTAAATAGAACTGAAACTGCTGGGCTAGAAAGACTGATAGTTTTACATAATCAGCAATTAAAGCAAAACTATATGGCATTTTCTCCACCTGTTTGGATGACTAACACAACATACTGTTTTCCCCTGGGTGATACTTTATTCCAATTACCTCCAACGTTCTGACACTATTAAGAATATAAATTATAGTTTTTATGAATAGTACGATAACTAAATATTACATTTAAGGTTTTTTTTTCTTTTTTTTTTTTCTTTTTAATCTGAGGCTGATTTCTGTGTTAATTCAAGAAAAAAATCTTCACGGTAGAGACAAAAACCCTAGAAAACCCGAGGCAACCACTAGCATTGCAGTGGCATGTTGCAACTCGTGCTCTCCTTTCTGCCTCAGTTTGGGATTATTTTTGGTCCCAAAACGTACCTCCAATAAGGGAAACAGTTCAGTATCTTCCCTTTGATCCCTTGTAAGCTCCTCCATGATATGAGAGAACTGAACGGAATCTTCTGCATCTTGCTTAAAAGCTTTAAATGTTGGTCTGTGGCATGAAAGGAAGCAATACGATCGGTACTGGTCAGTGCTGACACATGCTTATGTTAAAGAAAGCAGCAGGAGCCATCATTATGCTTTGTATAGATGCTGACACTATTTTGGTGCACAGGTGTGCTCTGAAATTAAGTCTTCGGAGTGCTCAGGCAGAAGAATGCCTACTTTCTGTATGCTGTTGAAGCAGAGTGAAATAAAACTCTCAGGTGCTTTCACTTAAACATTACAGGCCACATCCGCAGTGACCCAGAAGACGTAATACAGCATTTTGCTCACATACAAGCTATATGATTGCAGTAATCTAGCACCCTTTCTGGCTTTAGTCTTTATAAAGTGCTTAAAATAAATGGTATTTTTCTACAGATTTTGATCAGTGTACATTTTTTTTTACTACCTACATTTCTATTCATCTTTTATCTTCAGACTTATGAGAAAACATAAATTAACAGTTATCTTTCTTTATTGATCTTATAATTGCCCCCAAATGGTAAACAAATAATCAGAAACTCATGGACTCAGCTCTAAGAAATAATTACTATCTTTCTGGTCTATATCTGCTTTACTCAGGCATCATTTCAATGCCCGTGCAGTAGAGCTGCCTTCTTCCAGATCTGTATTTATCAGCTCACACAGCCTTTCTATTTCTTTATTACAAAAGATGAATCAATGACTGCATGCTGAAATGGTTTTAGTGTAGTTAATTAAATTCAAACAATGTTGAGTATAAATCCAACCTCCTGAGCAGAAGGCATTCAGCACGAGGGCTGTCCACGTCCCTGTTTCAAGCCAAGGATTTCGTGTGTCATCTCATGCCCTCAGCACTTTTAATATTTGTGCTAACAAAAACGCTGAGGAAAAGGTTGTGCCTTACGGACTCTCCTGAGCCAGGGCTGGCATGAGCAGCACTTACTATCACAAATTCCCCCTGAAATAGCTTTTCCCTACAAGACTGATGTGTTTCTTCATGAAACCATCAAAGGAAAAGCACATTTGTTTTTATCCCTTTTTCCAGCCACTGGCTTTAGGGTATTGCCCCCATGTGCAACAGAGTAAAACTCAACCATCACTGACCTGTGAATCCTGCAGTACCGGAGACACGGAGCACCTGTTGAGACCGATGTCTTTCAAGCAGGTAAAAGGAGTTCTTCTTTAGTTTAGGAAGTAATTGTGAAGGTGCCCAGGACAAACTCTGGCACGGTGAGAGCAGAATCCCCAGTTGTTCCCTACTGGGAAGTCCAGCCATCCTTAGAGGGGCTATCTGTGCTCACAGCCAGCAATTTCTCCTGTTGTGTCCAGAAATCTGTGTCCCAGCACTTTGGGCAAGGGCCTTGTCAGGAGGTAGGAAGTAATGGCATAGCTCTGGGTCATCAAAATTGTTCTCTTCCAAGGGGGACAAGGCTGAAGATCATGTTTCATACTGTCCTCCGGTTACAAATATTCCAGTCATAATTCTGTACCACGTAGAAAACCACAAGGAGAGAATGAGAGCCCCTGAACTCTGAGCAGCAGGGAAATCAGGAGAACAGAATGCAGGCGCTGCTGATTTTGACCAGTTTGCTTTCAGACTCGTTGCACAGTTTCAGGAAAAGTGTCCCCACAGTATAAGAAAGAAAAGGAACAAGGTTGGTTGAAAAGAAATAGGGTTGGTTTTAATTGTTTTTGGTTGTTGTTTGTTTTAAAATACACAATCAGACTACGGTGTTACACTGTCAATGATGTCTGACAGTTCCTGAAGGAGCTCGTCCGTATCCTTCTCACTGTCCATGTCAATGTCTCCTAACTCATCTCCAATGATTTCCATCATCAACTTCTCGATGTCATCATCCTCACAGACGAGCGCTTTCCCTGCCTCTGTGCAGGGAGGTGTTTTAACTGCAGCAACGGTCACCAGGCTGTCCCCAGGCAGGGCTGGAACGATGGCCTAGGAAGAAACAAGACAGTGTGTATGAAGCACGGCTCAGAGCTTCCTAAGTAGCTTCTTTTCCCAGAGAAGCTGTGGATGCCCCATCCCTGCAGGCATTCAAGGCCAGGCTGGATGGGTTTCAGGCTGTCAGATCTCGTGGCTGGCAGCCCTGGCCACAGCAGGACAGCTGGAACACTGGATGATCTTTGAGGACTGCTCCTCCATCCCCTGGGCACTGCTGAGCCTGAACCCAAATACAGAAGCACGGGGCTCCTGAAGAAAGCCTTCTCTTGAGGGTTACAATGACCTGGGGTGCTTTTAACAGCGCAGCATTCGTGGACAAAATCCTTCACACCACAGAGCAATCTGAGAATTGTAGAATCACAGAGTCTTACATAATCCTTGCTCTACATCTACCCAAAATAGAGGTCTTCCACAAGTACCCTGTGAGACATCTGCTGCCTTCAAAGGAAACAGCAGACCTGCAGAACACTTGAAATGTCTACCTTGACTTCAAGTGCAGTGTAAACCTTCCGTATGCACTGCTGCTGTTCTGCTGCTCTTACCGTAGGCAGTTTTCGGGCTGGGGGCTCATCGGTGTCCTCAGCAGCAGACGGTTCCATGTCCGCTGCCTTCCGCTTCAGTGTCTGCTTCGTGGGGAAGGTGGATTTCCAAGCAGCAGACCTGAGGAACACCTTGCGTCCAGCTGCAGTAAAAGGAAGAGGTTGCTGATAAGGTCTTGCTGTGGCCCAAGAGAAATCCCCGTTCTCCTATCATTCCCACAACCCAACCCACAACAAAGCTAAATACATTTGGCCAGCGGAATTACATTGCCATGCCCAGGATTCTCAGCAATGTTTTGCACACAGCCATCTCTACCAACAGCGCATCGAAAGGAACAAAGAAACCCACGAGCTGCACTCAGCAATAGTCCAGGGCAAGGAAAACTCTGACACACAGCAATGCTGAGTGGCAGCATGACTGTGCTGAGGCACTGCAACAAGCTCCTGCTGCTCACCCTTGATTCTCTTCTTGAGAGGCAACTCGCTTGCTTTGGCCTTCTCCTCACATCGCTTGCGCTTTTGCGCAGCCGGGCCATGGGAGGAAGATGGGATGTCACCTGCAGAGAACAGTCCAGGAGAGAACAATCAGAACATGGGAGTAGAAAGGCAGCGCCTCAAACCCAGATGCCTGTTCAGTGTCTGTACCTCTCGCTGCTGCCTTCTCAACCTCTGTCTGGCTCTCCAGACTTTCTGCAGGGCCGCTGTTCAGAGGAAGGCTCGTGTCAGCTTCTGGCAGAAAGGAGACAAGAAATAATTGAAGAGCATCTCTTTGGAGGAAGGTTTCAGCACACCAAGCCACAAGCTTCCAGTGTTCAAGCATAGTTTCTTGCGTTTGCCTTTCCCCTGCTCAAACGTTGTGCCATTTCTGCAGTCGGCACAGACCTGCAATGCATTTACCCCTCTCCAGCAAACACCCACCCCTATTCTGACAGCCAAAACACAAACCAATATTTCACTTATCACCGCTCTTCCTTGCACTCCCCAATGAATGTTACCTGACATCCTGCACCCGCTCAGAAGTAATAGTCATCATTAAGTCTTTCGTGCTTCATGCCATCAGGAACTCACCGTCACTTGGTGGTACAGTCGGTCCATTCCCACTGCGTTCCTTCAAGTGAAGGAAAGGGCAGTGGGCCTTCTGACAGCCTCCCGGCTGATTCTCCCAAAAGCAGGGAATCTCACTGCGCTTCTTCTGAAGAGAGAAGGAAAGGAAGGGTCATGGAAACAGGCAGAGGAGGTTTGCAGACAGATGCAGCGCTGCAGCTCGTGCCAGAGAGAAGCGGAGAGCTCATCTTTAGGCAAACACTCACATCAATTTTCGTGTGTCTCAGCCTGCAGTCGCTGCTGGAACAGCGACCCTGCATCCACAGCTTGCAGACCTCTTCACTCCCCAGAGCTGCTTCGCAGTGGCGGAATGGACAGCTGTCTCCCTGCCAGCAAAAGGAAAATAAGGGCACAGCCTGAAACACGTCCGTGCTGTCGGCCCAGGTTGGTAGCAGGGAGCGCACAATCCCACCGCTGATGAAGGCAACGCATCGCCAGCAGGTCTCCCCCTGCTCCACCCCTTCCTCTTCAAAGCGGGGAAAGGAAGGAAATCCAGGCAAAAGACACCCAACCATACCTTAAAGCAGACAGAGTTGAAATAGAAGTGGCAGTCGACTCCTTTCCGAGGCATGGGGAACTTCTTGGAGCAAGTCCCTCTCCAAAGGAATTCCCCGCTCTTGGAAAGAGGCGGCTGCGCTCTGGGACTGCTTGGACCCAAGATCACCTTTCAGAGTGGAACCCTAAGGAAAGAGTCAACAAGGGAAGAACCATGAGGAATAAGCATTTTCCCAGCTTTCTTCTTTTATGCTGACTTTCGAGGAGTCTCAGAAGCAGCTGGCTGCAAGAACTCTGCCAAGTCTAGATCCAACTTGTGTCTAACTGCCACGACTTCTCCCACCAAGCACTGTCCTCCATCTCACCACCAGTTATACACCTAGCAGCACACATTTTGCGTTCCTGACATGAAAATGACCCCCTTCAGCTTCTCCTCTTGCTGCAGCTGCAATGGCTGCACTGGTACGACTCCCACGTTTGACAAACCTACAGTTCTGGCTTACCAGGCACAGCTGCAGTCCCTCTCCCTTCCAGCTCACACTCCAGCCCAATGGCTGAGCAGCACCGTCAGCGAGAGCGGGCAGCACCCGTCAGCCTCCACCACTCTCACTGCCAGCCGGGACGAGAGCTGACGCAGCGTGTCCACACTGCTGCGCAGCGCTCACGGCTGTGGCACTCACTGGTGGCAGCCACGGCCCCAGCACAGTGCTTGTGATGTCACCGTGCCTGTGATGTCACCGGACAGTGCATGTCCCCAGCTGAGCACCCGGCTCTCCACCGGGACTTCAGGGGGGTTTTGGTAAAAATGGGCTGGATACGGCACAGCCAGCGCTCCGTGGGGCATTAAAGCACAAGTTGCACTGCATCAAGTCTGTGCTCTTCTTCCTTTGTCCTGTCTGAGATGAAGGCTGGGGCCCAGCAGCAGTTTTGTAGTGGCAAAGCTGTGTGGCAATGGGCAGCCACAGCTTGAGGCAGTGATTGAGCACCTGGTGGGAAGGCAGGGCAGCTCAGGTGCACGCAAACTCTTCCCAGACATCACTGAAGGGTTGGCAGTGGAGGCAAGGGTGTCTGACTGGAGATCCCTGCTACCTGAGGCCTTCCAAGGCTCAGCAGCTTTTTTCCTTTCTTTCTGTGTCCGCAGCTGCTGCACTTGAGCAAATCCTCCCTTGCTGCAGCCTAGGACTTTGCCACCCTGTTGTTACTGCTGCACTTTCCGTGGCACTGCAGCGTTACACAGGGGAGTGACGGCAATTCGTCATCCTCACCCAAACGGGTGACTGAATCTCTCAGAGAATCAATTTCCCCTGGAAACAGCCATTGGGAAGGGCCTCGTTTGAGCTGGCAACTCCCCCCCAGCCCAGCTTTGCTGCTGAGACTCCTTCCAGCCACCACGCAGCACCAAGCCCAGCTCACCTCTTGGTCCAGGTCAGTCCAGGCTGTGCCCAGGTCACACACTCGCCAAAGCGGTGCTTCTGACGGGCTCTCAAGGATGATCCCTTCCACAAAACGCTCAGAGCTCAGTCTCTGTGTGCCACTCGCTCACTAGAGCACCAGCTCTGCTCGCCAGGAGGGCCAAGCCCTGCCACCCCAGCAACGACTGTGACCTCAGCACGGTTCCGCATCACTCCTGCGCTTTCATTCTAAGCAAAGGAAGCGCACACCTCCGAGATCCAAATTCTAAGAGACCGACACAAGGGTCACCCAGTGGGGTTATTGGAAGTAAGATAACAGAGAAATTAAGGTGACTCTGTGCAGCCATCTCGGGTCAGCCTCTCACTCAGGCTCTGCACGACTGCACCCAGGAGATGTTGCCTTCGGGCTGCCTCCTGCTTGGAGGCCTGAAGGATTTGATCTTCCAAACAATCAGCAAGCATTTGGATGAGCCAGCCCTCTGGTTTTTACGCAGACACACACGTCCTGCTTGGGAAGCCGGCGCGGCCAAGGCAGAATAGCTCTGGCCGTGGGCCGCAGCACTCCATGGCAAGGCGCAGCTCCAACTCCTGGGCTGCATTTCCTCCTGGGCTCCCGCGCACGCTCTGGCTCTCCTGCAGCTTTCTGCAGGTTTTGTGGCTTCCTGCTGGGGAGCTCCTCACGTTCTTCTGCAGCTGCGCCCCGACATCATTACTGCCACCTCTGGTACCGCACCAAGAGATGCCTCAGCGTGCATCAGCCTGGACTTCCTGCTCCCATCAGCAGCTGCTCCCACGCCGACCTTCATCCATAGTGCGACCCTGGCCACTTCCAGCACGAGCTGCCCTGCAAGGCAGAGAAAGGAAACGTGGGATTAGCACAAACACGGAAGCCCAAGGCTGTGTCACCACCTCCTATTGCAGTCTTGGGGAGTCAGTTGCAACTGCAGCCTTTGTCTGAATTCAAACAGGCACCTTAGATTAAGTGGGACCTCTGAACTGAATAATTGCCACAATCAGAAATAGACACTGAAATTGCTTGCTGGAGTTCAAATTTGAATTCTTGTGCCTTTTGGAAAATATGCACTTGGAATTGAAGGATACAAGAAAAAGGGCATCTTCTTCACTGTAGGCGGTAAGGGTTGGAAGTCGGACTCTCACAAGAGGAAGTTTTCCTTTTCCTTGTAAGGCACAAAGCGATGGGATGATTTCCCACGCCTGCAGAAAGCCTGATGTGCTGTGCCACAGGTGACTGAGGGAACCAAAAGCTGTGCTGCCCATTCAGAAGCACGTGGGGCATGGGCAAGGGGGGGTTACACACCTGCACGTGGGATGTGAACGTTCCTTGGGCACCTTTTCCACCGTAAGAGAAATCCCTTTTCTCTGCCATGCCATGTCCCTACCTGCTCCGCAAGGCTGTGTGACAGTCAGCACAGAAACGACCCAAGCGTTCCTTTGTCATCACGGCGGTTTTCAACAGATCCACATGATGAGACTTCAGTTTGCTGTGCGGCTCCTGGCTGACACCGCCATTTCCAAGCCATTGCTTCCTAGGGGCAAATAAAGGAAAACACTTGAATGAAATTTCATGCAGAGATTGCGCATCTCACCAATCTTTTACACAAACCACAATGACCAAACAGGAGATGTGTGCAGCAGCATCAACGTCCCAGCTGATGAAGGAAGGTAGAGACAAATATCAAACTTCAGAACATTGTTCTAACACAACAAGGGAAGCTTTGTTTTACAAAATATGAACAAACAAACAAACAAACAAGCCCTCAGTCCCTTTTTGGGAGCCAGGATCCCACACAGAATTCTGTGTCCCCCTTGGAATGTTGGGTTCTCTCCCTGTGTTCCTGAGTTCTTGGGGCACTCATTGGGCTCCATGTTCCACCTACCACCCTTCTGAAGACCATTTGATATCTTTCCTCAGCACTGCCCCTCTTCCCTTATTCATCCCAAGGGCTACTCACCAGCACCCGCCCAGGCTCCAGCTCCTTCACCGCGTGGAAGACATGGACTTTGGCACCAATGGCACTGCCAGGGCTGCCCTGGATGAGGACACAGAAGGCATTCAGCACGAGGGCTGTCCACGTCCCTGTTTCAAGCCAAGGATTTCGTGTGTCATCTCATGCCCTCAGCACTTTTAATATTTGTGCTAACAAAAACGCTGAGGAAAAGGTGGTGCCTTACGGACTCTCCTGAGCCAGGGCTGGCATGAGCAGCACTTACTATCACAAATTCCCCCTGAAATAGCTTTTCCCTACAAGACTGATGTGTTTCTTCATGAAACCATCAAAGGAAAAGCACATTTGTTTTTATCCCTTTTTCCAGCCACTGGCTTTAGGGTATTGCCCCCATGTGCAACAGAGTAAAACTCAACCATCACTGACCTGTGAATCCTGCAGTACCGGAGACACGGAGCACCTGTTGAGACCGATGTCTTTCAAGCAGGTAAAAGGAGTTCTTCTTTAGTTTAGGAAGTAATTGTGAAGGTGCCCAGGACAAACTCTGGCACGGTGAGAGCAGAATCCCCAGTTGTTCCCTACTGGGAAGTCCAGCCATCCTTAGAGGGGCTATCTGTGCTCACAGCCAGCAATTTCTCCTGTTGTGTCCAGAAATCTGTGTCCCAGCACTTTGGGCAAGGGCCTTGTCAGGAGGTAGGAAGTAATGGCATAGCTCTGGGTCATCAAAATTGTTCTCTTCCAAGGGGGAGAAGGCTGAAGATCATGTTTCATACTGTCCTCCGGTTACAAATATTCCAGTCATAATTCTGTACCACGTAGAAAACCACAAGGAGAGAATGAGAGCCCCTGAACTCTGAGCAGCAGGGAAATCAGGAGAACAGAATGCAGGCGCTGCTGATTTTGACCAGTTTGCTTTCAGACTCGTTGCACAGTTTCAGGAAAAGTGTCCCCACAGTATAAGAAAGAAAAGGAACAAGGTTGGTTGAAAAGAAATAGGGTTGGTTTTAATTGTTTTTGGTTGTTGTTTGTTTTAAAATACACAATCAGACTACGGTGTTACACTGTCAATGATGTCTGACAGTTCCTGAAGGAGCTCGTCCGTATCCTTCTCACTGTCCATGTCAATGTCTCCTAACTCATCTCCAATGATTTCCATCATCAACTTCTCGATGTCATCATCCTCACAGACGAGCGCTTTCCCTGCCTCTGTGCAGGGAGGTGTTTTAACTGCAGCAACGGTCACCAGGCTGTCCCCAGGCAGGGCTGGAACGATGGCCTAGGAAGAAACAAGACAGTGTGTATGAAGCACGGCTCAGAGCTTCCTAAGTAGCTTCTTTTCCCAGAGAAGCTGTGGATGCCCCATCCCTGCAGGCATTCAAGGCCAGGCTGGATGGGTTTCAGGCTGTCAGATCTCGTGGCTGGCAGCCCTGGCCACAGCAGGACAGCTGGAACACTGGATGATCTTTGAGGACTGCTCCTCCATCCCCTGGGCACTGCTGAGCCTGAACCCAAATACAGAAGCACGGGGCTCCTGAAGAAAGCCTTCTCTTGAGGGTTACAATGACCTTGGGTGCTTTTAACAGCGCAGCATTCGTGGACAAAATCCTTCACACCACAGAGCAATCTGAGAATTGTAGAATCACAGAGTCTTACATAATCCTTGCTCTACATCTACCCAAAATAGAGGTCTTCCACAAGTACCCTGTGAGACATCTGCTGCCTTCAAAGGAAACAGCAGACCTGCAGAACACTTGAAATGTCTACCTTGACTTCAAGTGCAGTGTAAACCTTCCGTATGCACTGCTGCTGTTCTGCTGCTCTTACCGTAGGCAGTTTTCGGGCTGGGGGCTCATCGGTGTCCTCAGCAGCAGACGGTTCCATGTCCGCTGCCTTCCGCTTCAGTGTCTGCTTCGTGGGGGAGGTGGATTTCCAAGCAGCAGACCTGAGGAACACCTTGCGTCCAGCTGCAGTAAAAGGAAGAGGTTGCTGATAAGGTCTTGCTGTGGCTCAAGAGAAATCCCCGTTCTCCTATCATTCCCACAACCCAACCCACAACAAAGCTAAATACATCTGGCCAGCGGAATTACATTGCCATGCCCAGGATTCTCAGCAATGTTTTGCACACAGCCATCTCTACCAACAGCGCATCAAAAGGAACAAAGAAACCCACGAGCTGCACTCAGCAATAGTCCAGGGCAAGGAAAACTCTGACACACAACAATGCTGAGTGGCAGCATGACTGTGCTGAGGCACTGCAACAAGCTCCTGCTGCTCACCCTTGATTCTCTTCTTGAGAGGCAACTCGCTTGCTTTGGCCTTCTCCTCACATCGCTTGCGCTTTTGCGCAGCCGGGCCATGGGAGGAAGATGGGATGTCACCTGCAGAGAACAGTCCAGGAGAGAACAATCAGAACATGGGAGTAGAAAGGCAGCGCCTCAAACCCAGATGCCTGTTCAGTGTCTGTACCTCTCGCTGCTGCCTTCTCAACCTCTGTCTGGCTCTCCAGACTTTGTGCAGGGCCGCTGTTCAGAGGAAGGCTCGTGTCAGCTTCTGGCAGAAAGAAGACAGGAATTAATTGAAGAGCATCTCTTTGGAGGAAGGTTTCAGCACACCAAGCCACAAGCTTCCAGTGTTCAAGCATAGTTTCTTGCGTTTGCCTTTCCCCTGCTCAAACGTTGTGCCATTTCTGCAGTCGGCACAGACCTGCAATGCATTTACCCCTCTCCAGCAAACACCCACCCCTATTCTGACAGCCAAAACACAAACCAATATTTCACTTATCACCGCTCTTCCTTGCACTCCCCAATGAATGTTACCTGACATCCTGCACCCGCTCAGAAGTAATAGTCATCATTAAGTCTTTCGTGCTTCATGCCATCAGGAACTCACCGTCACTTGGTGGTACAGTCGGTCCATTCCCACTGCGTTCCTTCAAGTGAAGGAAAGGGCAGTGGGCCTTCTGACAGCCTCCCGGCTGATTCTCCCAAAAGCAGGGAATCTCACTGCGCTTCTTCTGAAGAGAGAAGGAAAGGAAGGGTCATGGAAACAGGCAGAGGAGGTTTGCAGACAGATGCAGCGCTGCAGCTCGTGCCAGAGAGAAGCGGAGAGCTCATCTTTAGGCAAACACTCACATCAATTTTCGTGTGTCTCAGCCTGCAGTCGCTGCTGGAACAGCGACCCTGCATCCACAGCTTGCAGACCTCTTCACTCCCCAGAGCTGCTTCGCAGTGGCGGAATGGACAGCTGTCTCCCTGCCAGCAAAAGGAAAATAAGGGCACAGCCTGAAACACGTCCGTGCTGTCGGCCCAGGTTGGTAGCAGGGAGCGCACAATCCCACCGCTGATGAAGGCAACGCATCGCCAGCAGGTCTCCCCCTGCTCCACCCCTTCCTCTTCAAAGCGGGGAAAGGAAGAAAATCCAGGCAAAAGACACCCAACCATACCTTAAAGCAGACAGAGTTGAAATAGAAGTGGCAGTCGACTCCTTTCCGAGGCATGGGGAACTTCTTGGAGCAAGTCCCTCTCCAAAGGAATTCCCCGCTCTTGGAAAGAGGCGGCTGCGCTCTGGGACTGCTTGGACCCAAGATCACCTTTCAGAGTGGAACCCTAAGGAAAGAGTCAACAAGGGAAGAACCATGAGGAATAAGCATTTTCCCAGCTTTCTTCTTTTATGCTGACTTTCGAGGAGTCTCAGAAGCAGCTGGCTGCAAGAACTCTGCCAAGTCTAGATCCAACTTGTGTCTAACTGCCACGACTTCTCCCACCAAGCACTGTCCTCCATCTCACCACCAGTTATACACCTAGCAGCACACATTTTGCGTTCCTGACATGAAAATGACCCCCTTCAGCTTCTCCTCTTGCTGCAGCTGCAATGGCTGCACTGGTACGACTCCCACGTTTGACAAACCTACAGTTCTGGCTTACCAGGCACAGCTGCAGTCCCTCTCCCTTCCAGCTCACACTCCAGCCCAATGGCTGAGCAGCACCGTCAGCGAGAGCGGGCAGCACCCGTCAGCCTCCACCACTCTCACTGCCAGCCGGGACGAGAGCTGACGCAGCGTGTCCACACTGCTGCGCAGCGCTCACGGCTGTGGCACTCACTGGTGGCAGCCACGGCCCCAGCACAGTGCTTGTGATGTCACCGTGCCTGTGATGTCACCGGACAGTGCATGTCCCCAGCTGAGCACCCGGCTCTCCACCGGGACTTCAGGGGGGTTTTGGTAAAAATGGGCTGGATACGGCACAGCCAGCGCTCCGTGGGGCATTAAAGCACAAGTTGCACTGCATCAAGTCTGTGCTCTTCTTCCTTTGTCCTGTCTGAGATGAAGGCTGGGGCCCAGCAGCAGTTTTGTAGTGGCAAAGCTGTGTGGCAGTGGTCAGCCACAGCTTGAGGCAGTGATTGAGCACCTGGTGGGAAGGCAGGGCAGCTCAGGTGCACGCAAACTCTTCCCAGACATCACTGAAGGGTTGGCAGTGGAGGCAAGGGTGTCTGACTGGAGATCCCTGCTACCTGAGGCCTTCCAAGGCTCAGCAGCTTTTTTCCTTTCTTTCTGTGTCCGCAGCTGCTGCACTTGAGCAAATCCTCCCTTGCTGCAGCCTAGGACTTTGCCACCCTGTTGTTACTGCTGCACTTTCCGTGGCACTGCAGCGTTACACAGGGGAGTGACGGCAATTCGTCATCCTCACCCAAACGGGTGACTGAATCTCTCAGAGAATCAATTTCCCCTGGAAACAGCCATTGGGAAGGGCCTCGTTTGAGCTGGCAACGCCCCCCCAGCCCAGCTTTGCTGCTGAGACTCCTTCCAGCCACCACGCAGCACCAAGCCCAGCTCACCTCTTGGTCCAGGTCAGTCCAGGCTGTGCCCAGGTCACACACTCGCCAAAGCGGTGCTTCTGACGGGCTCTCAAGGATGATCCCTTCCACAAAACGCTCAGAGCTCAGTCTCTGTGTGCCACTCGCTCACTAGAGCACCAGCTCTGCTCGCCAGGAGGGCCAAGCCCTGCCACCCCAGCAACGACTGTGACCTCAGCACGGTTCC